CTAAATTGATCTTACTAAAAACTTATTTTACTTTTATTTTACTTTTATTTATTTAATTATTATTAACATAATCAATTAAAGATGATTTGGCTTTTCCCTAAATAAAAAAAAAAGGATTGTTTTGCTTTTAGGATAGTGACATATTTGGCAGCAACAAGCAGCTTCACCATAAATGTCAATTCCCATTTCCCATAATAAGAAAAGTTCTTCAAGATTTAATGGCTGGGGAGAATTTTTATTTTCTTTGTTACAATGCCCCCACTAAAATAAGACTATAAACTATATCACATATCACTGAATTTTATGTGTTATATCGATCATATTATTAAATTTTTAATTTTGTCAATTATAACACAGAACGTTGATTTTTGTTTTAATTATATCATTGAATCATTCAATCATTGACAATCAGATTGAAATGACCTCGTTTTGGTTATATGTCTACGTCGACAGCCATGGACAATGTCATATTATTGTTAATGATTTAAAGGTTCAGTTGTACAATTGAAACGGAAATCAAAGTTTAATTCTACAATTGACAGAACTGAAAATTCAGTAGTGTAAACGATACAACGTCTAAAGTTCGATGATATCTGATGTAATTTACCCAAATAACTATATTCGATTTAGCAAATAAAATGTTAAGCCGTTTAAATAAATCTTAAAATTGAAATTTTGACATTATAAATAAATAAAAACAAACTAATATAAACTAATTAATTAATAAATTAAACATCGGTAATTATATAAAAAAAAATATTTCTCCACTAATATAAAATCTTAATGGCAACCCTCCACTTTGTTTTACCTAATTTTTGGATAAAGATGGGTCAATTCAACATAGCTGGCTGCTAGAAATGGGGATGTACTAATGAACCAAAAAGGAAATTGTGATGCATCTACAGTTTACCTTCAGACATTTTCATATTAATTGGTAGAAAAATTATTTTTTTAAGTTTATTTTACAATTACAAACCTAATTTTTATTATAAAAATATAAAATTTATAATTTAGTAATATTATATTACTATGCTTTTATTTTAAATTTAAATGATGCTTTTTAGTAAATCAATTATCATTAGTATATATATGAATTATATTTTTAATAAATTATTAGTATCCAAATAACTATCAATTATAACCGTTATTGCTTTGCTTATTTTTGGTTTATAAGTTTAATTATTATATATTATTATAAGTTTAATGATTATGTGTTATAAATTGTATTACATATTAGAAATTTATATGATTCGACCTAATGAATTATTTTAGAGAAAATAACCTCATTGACCAAAAATGCCTTATAATATACGATTTTAAATAATTTTTTTGGATTTGCCAAAATGACCAACTAAATCGCAATGCGATCGATAATTCGCAACGCGATCTTCGGTATCGTAAATTTGGATTCGTTGCGATAGTCCAAGTTCGCATTGCGATAGTCGAAGTTCGCGTTGCGATTTATTCCAGATTCGTTGCGATAGTCCAAGTTCACATTGCGATAGGCGAAGTTCGCGTTGCGATTTATTCCAAATTCGTTGCGATAGTCCAAAATCGCAACGACTGGTGGTATTGCATTTGTTTCTTAAGAATTTTATCTAAAAAGATAGTGTTCGCGCGGACGTGTTGAAGACACGCATTACCACGACCACGACCACGACCCGAGACGAGACGAGACGGATTTGGAATAAATCGCAACGCGAACTTCGACTATCGCAACGAATTTGGAAAATCGCAACGCGAACTTCGACTAACTTCGACTATCGCAATGCGAATATGTAAATCGCATTGCGATAGTCCAAGTTCGCGTTGCGGTAGTCGAAGTTCGCGTTGCGAATCTGGAAACTGATTTGATATACCGGAGATCGCGTTGCGAATTATCGATCGCATTGCGATTTAGTTGGTCATTTTGGCAAATCCAAAAAAAATTGGTTAAAATCATATATTATAAAGCATTTTTTGTCACTGAGGTTATTTTCTCATTATTTTAATAATAAAAGAGAATGTTGTTTCTCTTGAAAAAATTTAAATTTAAATAACTATATCCGTAGAGTGTATATATACTATTAAAAATTAAAAAAATTAATCAAATAATATTTTTATAATCAACCCAAATTATTTAAATATTTTTTATTTAACCACCGAAAATCTAATCATTTTATTTTGAATAGTTTGGGGTTATTACAAAGATAATATTTGTTCAAAATCTTTTTTAGCCATCGATAACGCACTCACCCTGCAGATGTAGATGCAGCTGCTCGTACTCGGACATTAAAAAAGAATAACACTCCTTTTAACTATTAAGGTTGCTTTATAGGTTTGGATATCCAATCCTTTAAGGAGCTAATTTACACATAATACATTTAGAAATAACATTAAATATAATTTTTTTTAATAATCTAGTGTGATTACAAGAAGGTATACTTACATAATTTTCTTAATCAATTGATAATAGACGTATTGTAGATGCAGATACTTAAATATAGTGTCTGTAAAGAAAACAACATTTTCTTTACCAGAACAACTTGATAAGTTAAAAATATTATATATTTAAAAACAATTAATATAATTTATTTTACATATGTAGTATATATCAAAATGTGGTTTATATAAAAAAACATAACATGATTTGTAATTTTTAATATATATATATATATTATTCAAAAGGATTTAAATTTAAATTATTAAAAAATATAAGAAACAATTGAAAATTAAATTTTCAAAGAATAATATTGTGAAAGAAACTAAAGATAAATTTTGAGAAGAACGAGTGGCAGACTTCCCCACCCCCCCCCCCTCCCCCAAAAAAAACTAAGGAAATAGTGAGTGTCTCGATATAAAAATAGACAGTGAAAACTTAAGTCCCATGACTTGTAAGATTTGGACCAGTTACAAGGTCACGGTCTTAGTCTTTTTGGGTCTTTTTCTTTCATTTTCACCCTTGAATTTGTATTTAAACTAAGGAAATTTTGATTTTTGTATTTTATGAAAAACAATAAATTAATCTAATAATTGATAAATGCATGGAATTAAACAGTTGGTTTTCGTTAATTTATTCCATAAACTGTTTGTTTTTTTTAATCATTTTTATGTGATTTTATAATAGTATTTATTAAATCTTATTCAATAAATTCACTAGCGTCTTATATATAAATTGTACAAATTCGGAAAAGAAGTGTGACATTCACTGGCACGAATTAAGTGGCTTATGCAGTAAAGGAATTGTTGTCATTTCTTGAAGAACCGGGTTCGAGCACTGAAAATGTTAAGACTGTGAGCGTTTAATATTAAGAAGTTACAAGTTATATTCGAACATATATTATCTTATACTTACCTTAGATTAATTAAAAAATCTTGACATCCACTGTCGCATAACAACTTCTTGAATTCCTTATTATAAATCGATTAATTTTTTTTTAATTCAGTAGTTTAATAGTAAAGTTTAATCGTATCATCTTTTTAGATTAACATCTCAATTGTTATAAAAAAATAATTAAATTATTGATAAATTAAAATAAAAAGATTATTTTTTTCAGTTTTCACACTCGTCTAACAATCCAAGAAAATATGTAAAAAAATTACATTGAACACAATGTAAATGGATCCTAACACATATATAAAGAGAGAATTGAGATCTATTCATATATAATGTAAAAAATTTAAATTTTATACATTTTTCGAATCATTCAATAAACTAAATTTAATTATTGTGAATAAAACAATTAAAAAAATTCTATTGTATTCACAAATTTTATCTCATATTATATATATATACATACCCCCATTAATAGATACCACTCTAGCTCTCACATGGAACAGATACGTAGGTCAAAATTTTATAGAGGGTTTAGGGCAGTGAAGGGGATCTAGCCCTCATTTGAAGTCACAGTTGTAGAGGCGGGTTTTTGGGGTGCAAGGACAATTCCAAAGTGAAATATGTCAACTCACTTGTTTAGATTTTACCCCCGAATAAGAGAGCTCAATTGGAGAGCATGTATAGGGACCATCCATCCAAGTTTTTAGATATTCGATAATCACACGAATTATAATCATATATAAAATTAAATCACATTGATTTTTTTTATTGTCCTCCCGATTTTAAAGTTTCGTATTAACTTAATACGGACCGACTCGCATAACACACTTGACTTTAATGTGTGAGTTTCTCATAAGAGATTTTTTGCATACATAAGAACTCAAACTCGAGACATTGCTTAAGTGACATAAGAGACTTTCTTTTGAGAGCTAATGGAATATATGATCACTTTCTTTCTAATTTTTGGTATATATATGAATTTTTAATTTCAATAATCAAATAAATTCTAATTATATATCAAGTTAAAATCTATCATGTTTTCTTCATTTATAATATCAAACTTTTTACTATTCAACCTATCATGCAACCGTGACCATATACCCCACACTTGTTTGGACATTAAATTATTACATATATTTTGACTAATATAATCCAAAGAGAAAAAGGCCCGGCGGAACAGGTTAATTTGTTTTTGTTTAATTCTTAATATTTTTCCAACTTTTCGTGATCAATGTCACTTCTAATACATAAGATGAAGAGAAAATTAATGGAAATATATATATATTTAATGTCTCTTCCGAGAGAGTTATTTCATCAATTCAACAACATTTTTGTTTGAGTAGGTAGTGATCCTATGGCGGCCTTTAAAACCTTACTGTGAACCCAATTCTTAAGCCTTGAATTCTTTGATTTTTTATATAATAAAAAATGAAATCTAAAACAGAGAAATCCCCAGAAAAATTAATAGCCATGGACTCAAACAAAAATATCAATGTCTAATTAATTAACCCAAAGAGGTATCAATTCTACCACCTACCTACACCTTGTCACTCAGTGTGTACCATACACATATACATACATACTTATATATGTATATATAAGAGCACACGAGATTTTGTGAAGCTGAAAGACGAAGAAGAAGAAGAAGAAGAAGAAGAAGAATGGGTGTTTTGTGTTATGGTTGATGGTGATGATGTCGAGGCAAGGAGGACTTGGGGGCACAAGGTGTCAAGATTGTGGGAACATCGCGAAGAAAGATTGCGGTTACATGAGGTGCCGGACTTGTTGCCGGAGCAAAGGGTTCGAGTGTCTGACACACGTAAAGAGCACTTGGGTTCCGGCTTATCGAAGACAAAACCGCCATCAGCAGCAGCAACAACAATTCTTTTCTCTTCCAATCCCTTTGCTTAATAACCCTAAAAGGCTTAGGAAAAACAATCCTTCTTCAGGTAAAAACACTAACCCACCACCTTTTCGTTTTGCATATATATATGTATATATATTATATCTGTTTACACACTGTTCATTGCAACCCTAGCAGCTTTCTTCTCCCTCTTTCTGTTTCTTTTTTTCTACTTTTGGGGAGTGATTTTTTTTTTTGTTGTTGAAGAAGTACGATGAACTATTCATTGGTGTAAGTTGATTTGAAATTGCCCTTCTTTTTTTCTTTTTCCTTTATGGGGTTTTTTAGGGTTTGAAGTGGGGTATTTTCCGGCGGAAGTGACATCGCCGGCGACGTTCCGTTGCGTTCGAGTGAGCTCCATTGAAGAAGCTGCCGACCAGTACGCTTATCGAACGGCGGTGACGATCGGAGGACACGTATTCAAGGGTATTCTCTATGATCAAGGACCAGATCAAGGCCATTACTCGCTCGGCGAGTGCTCCTCCCGGGAGACTCCTCAGCCGCCGTCGCTGTCGTCGTTGCAACCGTTGAATCAATTCAATGCAGTGGCCGATCTAACGATGGCGACGACTAACACCACCACGACCACCACCATTCCAACTTCAGTAGTTGCAGCTGAAACCCTGCTTCCTTTCGCCTATGCGTCTCCTTTTAGTGCTTTCATGTCATCTTCCGGTACGCAATTTTTCCTCCACCCAAAATCTTAAGAAAAAAAAGAGAATCCAACATTTTGTATATGGGAATCTGGGGAAAATCAATCAAAAAAAGAAAGAAAAACCCTTTTTTTTCTCGAGAAAATCTTAATCTACAGCAACTCATTGAAGTTGCCCTAGTGCAGCAGTAGGTGCATTATATGATATATTCGACCAAAAAAACTAAAGAAGAAGGAGATAATTAAGTGATTTAAAACTCCAAAGCCTGCAATTATATGATCTTGTCTGAAATATTTTAAAAATGCAGGCAAAACTAAAGATTGGGGTTAAGCTGTTTTGTCTTCTTCTTCACTTATTTTATTCATATTCCCACATGAAGTTTGGGTTTTGAATCTGCATTTTGATATCTTTCTTGATTTGTTTATGAACTTCAATGACACTTTCTTCCTGTTTATCCGTTTCTTTGCTGGTTTAGGAACCATCCCACCGCCTGACAAAAACAAAACTAAAGCACCTGTTAACATGTTTGAGATGATTACCTTACACACACACATGTCTATAAATATATATTCTTAATTTCAGAATCAAAATTTGGACATGTTCTAACGTATGATAGATCAAGTGATAAAGAGTTCAATCGTCCTTAAATAAAGTTTCGAGTTCGAGTTTTAAAACAAAACTGATCAAACTCATCCCCTGAGGCATAATTTAATCTAATTCAAATCTAGATTTAATCGAAATTGTTGTGATTACCGGAGGCATCTAAAGGCCGTTTGGCACATTTGCATAGAAAGACTTAAATATTCATTGAATTTTGCATTATGTTTTGCCAAGTTCATCTCCATGCACTTCTGCACAAACTTTATGGGATCTTTTCTTTGTGTTGTGTGTAATATTATATAGTATAAAACCCTTGGTTAGGTGCGGTATACATTTTCAATTAAAAAATTATGGCATGGGAATCGTTCATAGCTATATGGCTATAAAGCATGAGCTAAGCTCATTGAGATGGTAAAACAATAGGCTTTTGGGGAAGCATCTTTAAATAGGTAATTTTTAAATGATAATGGCTTTAATTAGAAAGCAATGTAAGCTTTTATTTTTTATGGTAAGGGAATAATTACTCTAACTCCATGCATGAAAAAGTCGATGCCCCAACAACCCATGTTAGGTCAAGTAATAAAAAGTTCAATGTTTATAAAATAATGTTTTAATTAGGGTCGTAGATCAAAAAAAACTTCAACCGTTCTTTCAGGTTTCTGATTCAAGTCGATTTCATATGTTGTTGGGACTCGTGTGATTACTGAATAATAGAGGGTTTAAAAAAAGATTGATGCCCCCTTGATGGGAAAATATAGAAAATAAAAAGTGGAATATATACTTTGTACTAGAAAGATATATATTAATCGAAGTAATTCCTTGATAAAGTTACATACATATGGAGTGGATTCTTCATTTATTCTACTTGTAGGATGGCTTTCCTTTTATAGTCTGAAATAATTAAGAAAACCCTTATTGACGAACCATACATTTTGGTGCATATTATAACGTGCATGATCTTAATTAATTAAGAAACCTCGAGTACTAAACAACAGAACTTATATATAAATGTATATAATTAAATTTGTCACTTTTGTTAATGTGTAATAGCTTATTTCTTTTGCATGAAAAAGATTGTAATTTCAAGATGAAAAAAGGGTCTTAATGGTTTAGTTACACCAAGGGCTTCATGAATCGGATCAGATTAGATCACAATGATAATATAAACTTGACTTTAAACCGCATTTAAATTCGTCTCTCAATTGATTGTCTTTTCCCTAACCATTCAGTGTAAAATAGGGTTTGTTAAAGGAAATTTGATGCAAATTGACCTATACAGATAGCTTTATGCACACACTGTAATAGTGTATAGATACTTATATAGGGTGACATACTATTACAATAGTATGTACGCAATCGACGCTTTTCAAATCAAGAAGTTTGATTTCTCTTAAATAAGATTTCGAGTTCAAACCAAAACAAGTTCGATTCACAAATCAATATTTCATACACACATGTATATGTATTGAATGCTGCGGTGTTCACTCACCGGATAGCTTAACTCGGTCTATCTAACGTGGTCGTAAAGTTGGTGTTTTAGTGTAAAAATTAACGAGATTTACCATGGAAAAAAAGACGCTGTAATTTTAGAATGAAAAGAAGGGTTCACAGTGACACCGATGTGATTCAAGACATTTACTGTTCGTTGTTTGCCTTTCAAAAGGGTTATGATATGAATACTATTTGTGAGAGAAATCCAATGTGGTGATGATATAAACCCTACCCTTTACTAACCCTAACCTACCCTAACTCTTGCTGCTGCTACAGCAATGGGGTAACCTATACGTTTAAAGCGATAAGTCAACTTTCGGTCCCTGAATTTGGTAACTTTTCTGTCCACATTAGTCCTATTTTTTGTCCGCGACATCAAAAAATTACTGAAAAAAATTTGAGCTCAAGGACTAAATTAGAAGAGGCTATCTAGTTTAGGGAGTGAAAGTTGTGTTATCCCTCGTTTAAATTTCAGCACGGGAAGCTTAATGACACCCCGGTTTCGGGCACGTCCCTTCTGTACTTTATTTCTATTTTCTACAGCAAGTGAATCCAACCAATATTACTACCTTATTGCACTCATGACGGGAGAAAGATAATAATAAATAAACATGATTTTGTAATTGTAACAAAATTTGAAAGATAATAATAAATAAATAAAATTATAAAGTAAGAACACAATTTTATGTAAAAAAAAAATCAGGTGAGAAAAATTACGGACATAATTTTTTTTACTATATCGATAAATAATTTACAAAAGATTATGAAAATCACACTATTCACGACACATACTAATTTGTCTAAAAATTTGTTTTTCTCACGTCATTTCTAATAATCCTAATTGCATATTTATAAGTGTATGGATATAAGAAGGGATGGACCGAGAGAGGGGCGGGTGAGGGCTGGCGTCCCCTTGAGAATTTAAAATTATTATATATTTTAGATTTTTCTATATATTTTCTATTAAAAATATATTTTCGTCCCTTAATATAAAATCATGCGACACTTTTAACGGATTCAATCTACAAACCTTTGCATCCACCACATATCCCCTTATTTTTCTCTTAAATTTTTGATCGACCCACATGAAATCCAGGATAATAATTTCTAACGAATGTAATTGGATTCATTATTATTTTTTATTAATATGGAATAAGTACAAGTCAGTACATGTTCAAAGATAATTCTCAACCATTTTACATTGAATGCTCACACACCTGACATTTCTGGTGCTCGAACTCGGGATCTTAATAAATAACAACAATTCCTTTATCACCGACATTCTGTTCGTGCGTGATCGGATTCATTAAGAGTATAGTAATAATCCTAAAATATAAGGTGAAAAATACCTATTAGCTCCTCTTAAAAATTAAAAATTCAATCTAAATATTCTTTTAACTCTCTATTAATCAAAAATTTGCATTGCCCCTTGTTTATGGGTCGATACAGTGATTGTATTTATTCCCGGAGAGGACATTGATGGCAAATAGTTAGAAACTACAGATTCTGGTCACCACTGCTTGGTTGTACAACCCACTGCTTAACCCTCCCTTTGATTCTGCAGGATTTCACGGGCAATGCCTCTTTTGATTTATTATTTCATCACATTCTGAACAATTCTATTTATTTAATTTTTTTTAAAATATTTAAACATTTATTGAATTATATACATTTTCCGAGTAGGAATTATCGTGTTTATCTAACGAGATGAGATAATAATAAAGAGTTTCAATAAAATTATAGTTTCCAATTTTAACATTATAAATGAAATAAAGTGAATTAAGAAAATGATTTCATAGTTAGGGACAGACATATAATCCAAAGTTAATGGTTTTCGAATAGAATAAGGTTTTGGTTTAAGGTGAAAGATATATATTTAACCCGGAAATAATAAGAATAATTTACATTTATTTGATTAAGTATGATTGCTCCAATACTTTTTTCTCTATATTTTCAATTAGATCTCTATTTTACTTGATAAAAATAAAAACTATATATGCATATGTTTGTGTCAAATAGATCAAGTGTATATTTTTACTTTTAAAAAAGGGGCCAAATTTTTTATCCGGTTAAACTTTCCTAAACTTGAATCAAATCGGGTGATGAGTGAAAGAATATTATACTCGATTCATATTTGGATTAATTGAAAGCCTATTAATCCATGACAACCCACCTATAATAAACCTATGTAGTATCCAATATAAATATAAATTCACAATTTCTGAAAAAAGTGGTGTCAATTAGTTAACTCCTAAAATATAGAAATTTCTAGGTAAATAAAAAATAATTTATTTTTTAATAATAGATTGTTCAGTCCATGTGATATATGATGCCTACTGATGAAGGTTTTTTTCTAATAGGGTAACTTTTTTTTTTTTGAAAAATATAACACATAGACTTTTATTTTGGGACATACAATTTTTCTATAGTGTATGAAACCCGTCACGTCGAGGTGATGATTTATAATACAAAAATATTTTTATTTAAACTTTTTATTTTGATGTGATAAATTTTAATAAAAAATTATATTTTATTAAAACTCATCACCTCAAATGAATAGTTCAATAAACGTTATAGAAAATACCGTATATCTCAAAATAAACTTATACTTATCTTATTTTATCAAATAATTTACTCGGGCCAAAAAAAAACCTAACGATGATCTTTATTTCACGTTTTGGTTGAGAGTTGACGGGCTAAGAAAAAAAGCCCATTTTCCACTTCAACAAGACTTGCACAGCCTGTTCGGCGTTCGCCATAGTTCATATGCGCACAAAGTGGTATAATTCTGAATTTCATCCCTCTTCTTTAAATTATTTATCAGAATCTGGTCCTTATACTTTATGGAAACTGAAATGATAGTCCAATTGTTGGTAAATACAAAAAAAAAAAACTGAATTGCAGATTTTTTGTTGATTTGTTGCATACCACTGATTTTTACTAATTTCTTGTATGTAAATTGT